GGCCGTGCGATCGATATGATTGGACGGTGGCTGTCAGCGCGCGAAACGCACTCGATCACAGCGAATTTGCTTCGTCATCGATCCATACAGCTCAATGCGACCTAAATTAGTATTCAAGATTAATTCGGTCGTGTGTTTGCTTATTTAAGGGAAATTTACATCAATGCCACTCAGTTCTTGTGTGTTCACAGCTAGTCTGAGCTGGTGGTCCGTTTATGCATCAGACCGGCAAAAGTTGGACTGAACCGGCGGTTCAACCGCAGAACCAAAAAATTTAGGACTTTTCAAAAGAAATGCTTATATATATGGTAAATCCATTATGAATGATTTGAAATTTTGAGATAGGCAGAAGTTAAAAAAGTTATGTTTTCATTTTATAGAGATGTTAAATCCATTAAAAAAGTTAGGTAGCTAGTAGAACTTTTATGTGAATTTTTAGTAATATTTACATGCATGCCACCCAAATCTTATATATTTACATATCTAACACCAAAAAATTTATTTTATAGACTTTTAGGAATATTTACATGCATACCACTCAAATCTTATTTATTTACATATCTAACATGTATGCCGCACAAATTTTTTTTTATTTACGTATCGAACACCTAAAATTTTGTATTTTTTATATTTTTAGGAATATTTTCATGCGTACCACTCAAATCTTAATCTTATTTATTTACAAATCTGAGACATAATTTTTTTATATTTTTTATATTTTTAGGAATATTTACATGCATACCACTTAAATCTTATTTATGTACATATATAACATTTTTTTATATTTGTATGAATATTTGTATGCATAACACTCAAATCTTATTTATTTACATATCCAACACATAAACTTGTATTTTGGTAGTTGAATCTCTCGTTATCTTCCTTTCCTGAGCAATCCTCGTCATTTCGACAGTGTGATTCTCACCACTTAGAGTTCTAGCTTATAGTCATATGATAGAGTTTATTTCCTCTGACTGTAAGGTTGTTGAGGTTCTGGTGGATGACACAATTCATGGATTGTTGAACGGGAATCTGTGGATGTGTTTGGTCGACTACCTTCACGACCGAATAAACTTAAAATCCTAGTAGTTTGGGATAACGAGTTTGTGGTACCCCGACTGACTATCTTTACTTTATAGGATTACTCAACCCTTCTTATTGTTGTGTCATTTAAGTTTTGTCACTCATTTGACTTCGTCAATATCTTTTTGATTGTCTTATATTGATGAATTGTTGCGTGTTTGAGATATGACGATTTGTCTTATGTCTTTATGACTCGAAAGTCCTTTGATATGTTGGGATATCCCGTTAAGATAATTTAGGTTATTTTGCGAGTTTTGTGTGTCGATGAGCCGCTGCCCATTCGATATGTGAGAGACTCACTCTTTGTCGGATAGAGGCGATAACTTTGAAGTATTAGGGTGTTCCCACACAGAATAATCTTTCTTTGATGACATATTTCCTTAGGTCTATAATAATATAAGCAAAACTTCTTTTATCGAGAATATTCATGTGTTTCCCTCATAATGTAATTAAACAAGTGAGATATGTCCCCTTAGGAGCACTCTTGACCCCAGAATCAACACATATACTTGATTCTCTAGTTATGGATAGTCTACATAGTATTCTTTTGCAGATACTGGTCCAATATGCTTCTACTTAATCTTGTTTGGACAGACATGTTTGATCTATCTTTGTGAGGTTTATTGCACTGTCTCGCGTTATTTCTCTTGTTTTTTGTCTTTGTCGTTTGTCTATCTTTTCTGATTCCTCCCTTCTTATGATCATCCATATGATTCGGAATAATAATTTATTCGGGAAATGGAAGAATACGATGATCGACAAGTTGAAGACTCCTTTTAAAATAAAAAAAAGTTTGTGTCAAATATTAGTGAAAGAATACCTACGAAAGATGCCAACAACAAGAGATTTAGATGTATTTGTCTGCTTTGGGGTCCAAAATGCTCCCAAAGTGATGCATCTCACTTGTTTTATTACATATTGCAGGTTGCCCAATAATACTTTTAATCCAATAAGTTCTGTTTACATTTGAAGTGATAATTAGCGCAAGTCTATCAAAGGACAATTATTGTGCATTGGAATACTTCAATGCTTTCAAAGCTCTCACTAAGCCACGGGGCAGAGAGTAAATCTCTCACTGTCTCACATAAGTAACAGACTTATCAGTGTACGGAGCCTGCAAAATAACTGAATCATCCGAACAGGGAATTATAATACATTAAAGCACATCCAAATCATAAGGGCAGTAGACAAATTGTCGTATCCCAAATGGGTGGCAGTTCATTGGTAATCGGACCATCGAGATGATACCAACAAAAGCACGAGGAGCGACAGGGCTCAAAGTGGGTAGTCAAAGGAATGAAGGAGTGGTCCTTAAATAGGTAGATGTGGCTAGATCGGGGCATTACAGACCCATCATCCTGATCCACTGAGACCCTAGGTCTACTTAGCTGTGAAGGTAGTCAACACAATATGTTCAAAAATCTACAACCAATAATCCATGAATTGTGTCGTCAGCAGGGACCTCGACAACCCATAGTTCAAATAATCGAAACTCTATTTTATGACTTACAGATCGAGCTCCAAGATATGTCACTTATACTTGCTGAAGTGGCAGGGATGCCGTTGGAAAGGAAGAGAAAGGAAGGTTCAACTACAAGCTGGAAATACTCCAGACAAAATGACTTACAGTTTGTTTCGGTAGGTGAGTCTTCTAATGACCTAAACATGCTAGAAAATCACCTAAGTAGAAATCCATGTTGGGTTAATCATGTTGGAGAAACTCAAAGACTTCTGCATGGGACACACACATGATGCAGTTAGCTATTTAAGTTCTAATATGGAGCCCCTATTAGAATGACTTGGGATATGACTACATGACACACATAAAAATTACATACTTTTTCATATATATTTTATGCTCAATTTTAATGATTTTTAATGATATTACACTTTAAATTGAGGTATTTTGCATATTTTTTTATTTTCAGGTACAAGAAATAAAATTTTAGAGAAAATGAATAAAAAATTATGCAATTTGGAGTAAAAACGAACAAGAAAGATAATTGAGGCATTTTGCATATTTTTTTATTTTCAGGTACAAGAAATAAAATTTTAGAGAAAATGAATAAAAAATTATGCAATTTGGAGTAAAAACGAACAAGAAAGATAATTCTGATTTGACACATTTCGATATGACTTTCTATGTTTAATCTACATTATTTCTCACATGTTTTTGAATGAAATTACACTTTAAAAAAATTATTTTCATGCTTATTTTATAGGTTTATCTTTTATGAGTGAAAAATAACTGAAACGGGGTGAAACGAAGTCAAACGGAGTAAAACAGTGAAGCTGCTGCGGGGTGGCGCATGACGTGTCGAAATCCAGAGAACTAGCGCATGATGCGCCGATTTGGCGCTAGATGCGTCAAAGACGACTTTTTACAAATTAAGGCGGTTCAAAACGAGTTTTAGTGCAAATTTTCAAATAGATTGTTGTTCTAAACTCTTATTGGAGTGATTCAATGCATCTAGACACTTTGGAAGGTTCCTTTATGAAGAAATATGTCTCTCGGATCAATGGACAAATATTTTGAATTCAAAATAGTTGACTTTTGGATAGAACTTTGGAGGGAATTTTGAATTTTTTTTGGAGGGAAGCAACATTTTTATAAAAGAGAGGGAAGTCTAGGGCTTTAAGAAGAGTTGTGTGGGCGTGAGTATTGTGTGTGTGTGTGGCGTGAGAGTGAAAGGAAAGGCTTAGAGATTTTCTACAAAGATTGTAGGAGGAGAGAGAATGTGACAGATTTCTTCTTCATTGTATTTTTAAGAGAGAATTGAGAGTACTTGTAAAAAGGAAAAGTGCTTGAAGAGAAATTCTAGGGATTTGCTTAGAGAATGTGACAGATTTCTTCTTCATTGTATTTTTAAGAGAGAATTGAGAGTACTTGTAAAAAGGAAAAGTGCTTGAAGAGAAATTCTAGGGATTTGCTTGGGAAAGATTGTGAGATAAGTTGTGTTTATTTGTTTCTTTATTTTGTAAACTTGTTTTTATATATGAAATTAATGTTTTGTCGTATCATTCTCATGAATTATGAGTAGTCTTCTTTATTATTCTCCCTATTTTGAGATATGGTTTTGTGAAGAATTAATTTTGTTTTATACGATTTTAAATGTCAATAGTTTGTGATGATTCAAACTCCAGTTTTCATTTACTTTTCGACCTGATTAATTAAAATGTTAAAATGATGTTAAAATGTATTGATGGACATATGTTCTTAAAAGAGATATGATTTCTACAAATTTGATTTTATGGGAGAGTATGTCATCTATGAAATTGAGTGCAAATAAATAGAGAAATAAACTTGTTGGATGCAGAATTAGAGATTTTAAGGTGACATATTAAAATCCTCAATTTAGTCCAGTTGATTGTGAGATTGGTAGCCCTCATGTGAGAGAGTAGTGGGAGCTCTGGATTAGCAGTTGTTATCCTCTCAGCCTAACCATGAAATTAGGGGCCAAACTCTGAATTAGTCGATGTTTTTATAATACTCGGAATATGGTAAATAATAAAATTGCTCCTATTTGACATAAAACGATTTTTATATATTTTTAAATGATTTTAATTTCCTCACAATCTATATACTCATTGTAAAGGGGAATGGAGTTTTCTTAAATTTGAACTCTTCGTCATAAAACTTTGTTTAGTCTTAGTAAATTTAATTTTAAAGTTTAGTATATAGCTCAGTAAACTTAGTTATTTTAATTACATTTCTATTAACATTCATTAAACTCATTTTAATTTGTTTTTCTTACTTTAATTTTTATAGTTTGAATATTGTGATTTATGTTATTATCATAAGAATTTTCATCTTCCAAATTAAGACTTCATAGTAGTATACTAGAATTAACCTAAATAATTTCTTCCCGCGCTTCTTTGTGGGATCGATACTGGGGTTTTTAAAGAAAGCTCTGTATTTCTTGAAGCGATACGTGCACTTACGTTGAACCACTAGTGTGTGAACTATTTTATATATTTTATATAATATTTCAATTTTGCACATTAACAACTTAATATAAATTGCATCGTGTTATTGCTCATATTTTTTAAAACTAAATTACTATGTAAATTCAAGACAGGTCAAGTTTTTGGCACCGTACTGGGAAATTAAATTGACATAAAACACGCAGAAAAACAACACACACTAGGGGCACATCATTATGCCATGCAACCCATTTTAAAATTAGCTCGAAGGTCATGCAGGAAAGCAAAGACAATTTTTAAAAACTTAAAACCTTTTAATACTAAATTTTAATTTATCATGAACTTTTTTAGGATTTTTTAGTTAGATAATTTATAATTTTAAGGTTCTAAAAAGCTTAAATTATATTTCTCGTAGCATCTTGGCTAACCAGAAAGAAACACAAGAAAATAATTCAAGCATGCAATTATGTAGAAGAGAGTAAAAGTGCACGAAAAAAAATATATAAAGGTCAATGTCGCTATGTCGATAACTTGTCACAGAAAAAATAGGAAAAGCGGTCGGACACAACATAAACACACATAATCCCAAGTCTATAAAAAAATGTAGAATTCAGACTTGAGGTACATGATATGAGTTGTCTTTTCTAGTCCTCGCCACGTGATTTGATGCGTCGTCCGCCTCGAACCCATGCTTGTACCTTATTTCTGATACATACACAACCTAGTGACTCTATCAAAGACAATTGAAAGAGAAAAAAAAAACTCAAACTGCGAATGATTGCTATCAAGGGTTAGCCCGTGCAATAGTATATAAGTCGTGCTCTTAGGGGAGTTAAATAACACCTGCAAATAAAATGTTAAAAGAAATCATTACATGCTCCCCCCATCAATGATACATGTGTATTTGCATGTATATAGGCACAAATCTCTATAAAAAAACATTCTAATATACTACCATGCATATCAAACATCCAAACATACCAAAAAACACAAAAGCGACGCTTCACTGAAATAATCAAATCAATAGAGAATGATAGTAAGAGGTGTCGAAAATATTACATAACACCCAAATGCTAACATAATATACCATCTAACAAAAAGTGTCTTAATAGAAATCTAAGTGCTCAGAATAAGTCTTCATAAATGTATGACTTTAATGAGATCGTCACATTGACCTCGTTATAAAGATCAAAGGGATTTAAAGAGTCTCACCCAAGATGGATTTTGAAACTGGTTGCCCTTACATATGGCCTAGCTTGTTACATGCATATTTTCAAAATTATGATGATTTGTATTAAGTAATATAATATATGTATATATATATATATATAAAAGTTTTAAAATAAGGGTCATTAAATGAGCTTGCTACATGTATAATTTAAAATTTATGGCGAGTTGTAATAAGTAATTTTTTTTAGTTATAAAACAAGGGTCATTAAATACAGACACGCGACCTACAAGGTGATACGAGTTAGATAAATTGAATTCTTGGCATAATCATATTTTTGGCATAATCATACTTGTATCAATCCCGATGTGATACTTGTCTCGTTGGGATTAACCCGACAAACAATGCTCGTTAAGACATCGCGACCAACACGAAATCACCCGCTATCGAGTCAAGCTCATTGTCATGCATGCATGTTAATGGAAATACACAATAGTATGATAGAACTAGAGAGCAGTGTGTCGTGGATGCAGTGACTCGAAAAGGTGGGAGTACCATGGAGGTAGTGACCAAAAAAGGCAGGCGTGCCTTGGAGGCGGCGAACCAAAATATGGGCGTGCCGTCAAGTCAGTGACCCGAAAGGATGAGTGTAGTGTGGAGACAACAATAAAAAATGATGGGTATGCTGTGAAGACAGTAACCAAAAGGATGGATGTATTGTGAATACAATTAACTAAAAGAGTGAACGTGTCATGGAGTTAGCAGCACGAACAAATGGTTGTGTCATGGAGTCAGTGACTCAGAAGGGTGCTTAAGGCAATTTGGAGCGACGCCATGGAAGTGTAGGGATGTGACTTCCATTAGAGGGAATTACAAGATGGATTGGGCCGATGATGAGCCACCTATTCACATGATATATGAATGTGAAGGATGAGGGTGTGAGAAACACAAATCCAAGTGTAAGACAGCAAATGTACAAGTCATGCAAGCAAAAATTAAAGTTTTTGTGTTAGAAATGTTATGTGCATAAGAATTGAGTGGTATGTATTTAAATCTTCCTATTTATCATTACAAGTAAATAAAAAAAATAAAAAATGGAAATAAAACTAATCCTAATCAATCATTAAAGGCACGTGATCGTGTAAATTTATGACAATACATCCAAACAAATTTTGAATCGACTCTTGTTGCTCCCCTCTTTCCACAAAACCCACTTTGTTAATGTTACATTTTAACATCTTGTGTTTTTTTTGATGCATTTTAAAATGGATTGGGGCTTACTATTCCCAAAAGTGTGGAACCTTCAGCCACATTTTCCAAAAGAGTGGGAACCTTCAGCCACATTTTCAAGGCCGTTCAATTAAAAAAAGAAATTTTATTTATTTATTTTTCCTTTCATCACTGCTATCAAAGCGATAAGAAAATCCCACAGCGGGGCATTTCTCCCCCACTCCTCTCGCACACCAGTAACTCCAGAGCTCTGCAACGCCAACTCGTATCTGGGCTCCATCAGTCTCCGTCCATCGACCAAAGAGGATGAAAGCCTCTTTAAGAGGACGATTTGAGCCGGAGCGAAGCTCAGCCATTGCCACCATCTCCCTCCCCGCCGGCGATGCCCGCATCAAAGCCTCCATCACCGAAGCCACTTTCTCCAAAGGACCTTCCCTCAACGGCCTCTCTCTATCCTTCGAGAAGCCCGGCTCTTTCATCATCGACTACAGCGTTCCTAACCAGGTACGAAATCTCTGCCCTATAAATCTCGCCTTTCATGTTGTTGATAATGGGTTCCGGTCTTCGCAGGACTTCAGGTTTCAGTTCATGAACACGGTGCGGTTGGCAGAGAAACCTCTGAGCCTGACCTACACGCATGTTCTCGGGGCTCATCAGACGGCAGTTGACGGTTCGCTGCAGTTCGATCCGGCGAATAAGCTGTCGGCGAACTACAACTTTGGTTCGGGAAACTGTAAGTTGAAGTACGCTTACGCGCATGGGGAGTTTGGGAGGGTTCTGGTGGAGCCGATCTATGATGTGTCGAAGAATGCTTGGGATTTTGCAGTTTCGAGGAAGTTCGATGGAGGTGATTCTCTGAAGGCGAGCTATCAGACCTCGAGCAAGGTGCTTGGGTTGGAGTGGAATAGGGATTCGAAGATCAATGGGTGTTTTAAGGTATGCTGTGTCTTTATTCCTTATGGATTGACGAAAGAGTTGACTCTGCAGTTTAAAATTTGGTTTTTGAGCTTCATATATGGATTTCTAGCGGGTTGCATGGCCATTTTAGAGCAATTTGCTTGAATTTGCAAGGCTAGGATGGAATTAGATGGCATTTCGGATGTAGAATTCCATGAAAGAGAAGCTAACATTGATTTGCTGATTGTCATGTGTATGTAGGTTATGCTTGATGCTTCGATTCCCTTAGTAAAACCTTTCAATTCGTGGCTTGCATGCCCTAGTTTTTGTCCGAGGAGCTGTTACGATAAATTTGTAGAAGTTTAGAAGATTTTTACACTCCACTTGTTTATAAGTTTTTGAAATTCATTGTTGATGCAATATTTAGGCGTTCGAAGCTGTTCAATTAAGATCTTAAAGGATGTTTTAGCTTACTTGTAAATGTTTTATTTACATACAGAGCACTCAAAACATTGCTATTTACAAATCAAGCACCCTTTTGAATCCATTTTTTCAAATTCTCACTCAAATATCAAAATTCATGATAAAACCCCAAACAATACTTTTTATTTTTATCAAATTCTCAATGGTTTGATTGTGGCACACGTGAATGCATCGTTTCTATAGTTGAAAAAGTCATCTGGGTGCTTGATTTATAAATATCAATGATTAGGATGCTCTGTATTGTGATTAAATTGAGTGTTTTTAGGAAGCGGTGCGGGTTAAAGACACAATCCAGTGGGAATTGTCAGTAGTAGAAGAGATTGGCTCCTTATGGAAAAAGAGTATTAAAAATACAAAGGATAAAGGGCATTGCAAAACAAATTGGATTTTTAAGATCAAGGAATACCACAAGGTCAATAAAAGGTACAAAACAAGACCAAAAATTGTAAGATCGGAGCTTTAGTTACAATTTTCTCCATTTGTTAAATTGAATGTTTTTAAAATTGTGTTGAGTAGGATAAAAATAGAAATTTACATCCTATTTGTGATTTGGAGGTGAACATTTACACGGTGCAATCTAATTTTTTTGAAGCCTCTATGGCTTTCTTTGTTAGTAAAAGGCTACATGGTCTAAAGTATGGTCATCGTCAATTTTGTCAAAAATTTTATGGGTTAATGCGTCAAATTGGCTCTTTCTCATGTAATGCAAATCATTGTGCTATATTAAGTGTTGTATTACACTATTACCATGCTGATTTTAGGAATGACATATCTAGTTTTATTTTCATTATTTTATTTATTTATTTTATTGAATGACATGTTAACTATAGGAGCGAACACTAGTGAGATTAATATATTGAATACACACTTGTTAAATAAGTTTGAATTGAATTACATTGGGAGAGGCGAATGATATTCTTAGGATGAGAATTAGTCATGAAAGATTGGCCAATACGTTGAAGTTATCTTATGTTGATTTATTTGATGAACTTGTTAAGTAATTTTAAAGTTAAAAGTGTGTGAGTAGTTTCTTGCCTTGTTGCTTTAAACTCTCAAAGCATTAATTACCTGAAGCTAATAAGGAGACAAATGATATGGTCAAATTTATGATTCACATTTTGGTTTGCTAATACACCTATCATATGGCGTGTTAGACCAGTATATAGCTTATGGAGTTGTGACGATGAACATTTGAAATTGATGTTATGGGGTATTATTACTACATCATTAATGTTTTGCAAGAGTGGTAAGGAGTGCTAGGCTTTGTTTATACTGATTTAGTTAATGATTTGGATACTCAAAGTTATACTATATCTGAGCAGATACATCTATACATTCGGTGGTACCGCTACCTGTTGGATATCACAATATTTAAATTTGTAGCTTTATCTAGCATTAGGTAAAGAAATATTTTAGCTTATAACTTATTTAAAATGTTAGGAGACGGACTTGGTTATGTTATTCATTTTTCTTGATAGTTAGGGTGTAATATGTTTAGTAAGAATGTAACATTATGTTTCATAATAAAGTATATTCAATTTAAATTTCATTTTAATCGAGGCTTGTTGGAGGTTGATTTCTTACTGTTGAATAAAATACCAGCATATGAGGATTTGAGTAGCATACTCACAAAGATGAGCAACATAAAGGAAGCATGTTGTTATATCATGCTTAAGGTTAATTTAGTCTTTTATTAGTCTCAGGGCAATTTAGTTTTATTATTATTTATTATTGTGGGGTATGAATAGGGCTAATATGTTTAGGGTTAAGGAGATGCGTGAGATTATTGTTTTGAGTTTTAGGGGGTCAGGGTTTGGGAGAAATTTACTATATCTCGAATTGTAGGATTTGGGACAGATCGCTCGCCTTTCAAATTGTAGGTGCTTATCTTATGTATTCATGTTGAGTTATTTGATGTTCTTGCAATAAAATATTAATTTGCCCTATTTCTATGGAAAAATCTTCCTGGATCATATCACATGGTTCGTAAAAAAAAATCAGTTAACCTGTTTAAACAATTGATGGGATGTGTTGCAAAAAGTTAAGTTCAAAATTTCTATATATGAGTACAGATTAAAGAATATCGATTTGATGGAGCACAATGTTTGCTCTGCAGAATTAGCACAAAGTTTAAAAGAGGTAGTTTTAATGGATAGATACAGCCTAAGCTTGGATACAAAATTTTAAAAATTTTGTTAGTAGTTTTATTAATATGTAGCCAAATAAAATCCTGAACCTTTTTTTTATTTTGATTTTCATCCTCATAAACCTCATAATTAAACATCCAAAAGTAGTCGGTTTGATTTTTTTCATGTCAGCGTGTGTGAGAAAGAAGGAAAGGGAAGATAGGGAGAGATGAAAGTAATGAATATCTTTGGTTAGATGAAGAAAGAAGAGAGAGAGAAGCGACATGACAAGAAAGATATAATTGAGATATAGAGAAAAAAACTATGGATGGAGGTAAATAATAAGAAATAATTAAAAAGAGTGTACTCCATCACCTATTCTTATTAGTTGTCTTTTATATTATCTGCAGTTTTTCCTTGCCCACTTTGCTTTTACTTTTTCTGTTATTTTCTAGCACTGATGAAGTGGACCCAAAATAGTTGGGATTACGCTAGTTCTTGTAATGGTTAACATCTTTTTTGCCATTAGTTCTTGAAATCTCGGACAGTATATTAACACTTCACTGAACTTTTATATCTCAGGATTATGCGGTTCATTTGGTATCGGGAATTTAATTTTCTTGATATATTGGACTTTCTGACTGCATAATGTGATTTGGAACTTTTGAGTTTGAAAATCTCATTACTTTTGAACCGAGTAATTTGTAAACACAAATTTCTGAATGCCACTGTAAGTATTTCATGCTGGATTAAAAGGCTCTACCAAAGTGAAGTCTGAGTTAATGAGATAGAAGGTTTACAGAGATGTAAGATAATGATAAATAGTGGATCAAATTTTAGTGTATAATTCTGGTTTCCTTGGAATAGACAGGTTCAATAAAGGATACAAAGGAAGATAATTTGCGACTGAGATGTTTTAAGTTCTTGTTGTATTGAGTATGTTGTAGAGTATTCTGGTGAAAGAAGGAAGTTTTAGAATTGGTTGTAGTATTGCATGAATGGCTGCAGAAAAGGAAAAATGGAAACAATCTAAAAAATTGAGGCCCTGCTCGTCTGCTTCCAATCTCTTGCAAATACTCTGAAATAACATTAGAACTAGCATTTTGTGCTTTTGTTTATCTTTTATTGTCCTTCTTATTTAGGATTTATGAAATTCGTATAAACCTCCTAAATTATGAAGTTCGGTGTAATTGGATGGATGTGTGATGCACCAACATAATTTCATGTAGTTGGGACTCATAGTGTTCAAGACTACTACACTTTCTTAACTCTTCTGTTAAACCCTATCGATCCATGGGATTTTAATTGTGTATCCATCAATACATGAATTATTATAATTATTCTATAATTATAATTCTTCCAATTCTTTGAACTATTATAATTATTATGCAATTATTACTCCCTGGTTTTGTATGTTTCTTAAGCAGAAATTTTTCTTATGATCAACCTCTTTTCACAAATTTATTTCATACACCCTTATTCTAACAACAAAAAAAAATTATCGTTGATGGACCCTTAGCTATTATGGCCGATCATGGAGTATTTTTTAAACAAATCTCCAACATTCTAGGATGTTATACATGTAATTACATTATTTGCAAACAAAATTTTGATTCAAATGTTGATTAAATATTTTGAATATAGTAACGTGTTTTATTCTTCAAATTATGTCTTTCGGGAGTAGGACATGAGAGAAAATGATTGATATGTTCTCTATCACCTTAGGGAGTCTTATGATCAAGAAAATTCCATGCAATATTCACGATTGCCTATTTGCTCAGAAACCCTTAAATCTAATTAAAAAAAGCATTCAACTTCAACACGCATTCAACTTCAACACATACCTTAGGTCACTCATCCTTTATTGTTTTCAAAGTTATATTTCTTTTATTATTCAAAGAAAAATTTTTTTTCTTTCCTATGGGGTACATCCTCTACACAACTACATCAACTTCTTAGTGCTCGATGCTTGGTGTCTTTTATCGATAATAGCTTTCATGTGGCATGATTTTCTTATTAAAAGTGAAAAATGATGTAAATATAATCTTTTGCACTTTTATATTCTAATTAAAAATTAGTTTGATGTTAAAATTAAAAGAGTCAAATTCGATAAGGCCAATAACTATTTTCACGATTCTCTCCCCTTTTTAAGAGGCTTGAATAACATATAGTCTTGTTATATTTATACAACTCTAAAAAATGGAGTGTTTAAAGTAAAAAAATGGCAACCTATGTCACGACCCGGTCCGATACTTCAAATTAACCAAGAGGGAAACAGACGGCCAGACATTGAAAATTAAATATTTTATATTCGTCTAAAATTTAACAGATGAAAGTACCACTAATCAAATTAAATTTAAGTTATATATTTAAAATTACCTTGTTATTGGTTATTCACGTCTTCTATAAATGTTTTCCCTTCTATCGCTC